ACATACACATATGTATATAAATGTGTGTATTTATGTTTATAGAGATGATAAAATTGTACCAATCTCATGAGTTTTATGAGAACTGAATGAGCTATTCACATAAAGCATTTAGCACAGTGGTTGTCATATAGCAAATGTTCAATTAAGGTTACTTGTTTATTTTATTATTATTTATTGTCTAACTTTTTACATATGTCTCCTTTTTCCCCAAATGGCCCCCCTCCCAGCCATTCCCACCCCGGGCAAACCCCCACCGCCCCAGTGTCTGTGTCCATTGGTTATGCTAATATGCATGCATACAAGTCCTTTGGTTGCTCTCTAACCCGCCCCCCTACCTGCCATTCGTCTCTGGATCTATTCTTGTTCATCAAATTAAGTTGATTATTATGAGTGAGATCATGTGATATTTATCTTTCTCTGACTGGCTTATTTCGCTTAGCATAATGCTCTCCAGTTCCATCCATGCTGTTGCAAATGGTAAAAGTTCCTTCTTTTTTATAGCGGCAGAGTATTCTATTGTGTAGATGTACCATAGTTTTTTAATCCACTCATCTGCTGTTGGGCACTTAGGTTATTTCCAAATCTTAGCTATTGTAAATTGTGCTGCTATGAACATAGGGGTGCATATATCCTTTCTGATTGGTGTTTTTGGTTTCTTGTTTTTGGGATATTGTCCTAGAAGTGGGATTACTGGGTCAAGTGGAAGTTTCATTTTTAACGTTTTGAGGAATTGTTTATTTTTTAAAATAAATACACATGACTTTCATACTAGAGATTATGCTGCATATACAGTTTTATATCTTACTGTGTTGCTTAATTGTATGAGTATTTCCTTGAGCTCATAATTTATTGAAAGCATCAGTTGATATTTACAAAATAATCATCATTCCACAATTTAACTATCCCTTTATTGCTGAATATTTAGATTGTTTCCAAACGTCCTCTATTGTTAAGCTGGGACCCAATGTATTTTAATGGTAGAAATTTATTGTAACAAAGGTGAAGTTCAATGATAAAGTTGAAATTATACCAGGTATAGAGGGACAGATTCTTTGAACAGAGCAACCATATACAGGAGAGTTGGCCTCACCTAGGAGTCCTCCCTCAGGGTCAGCTCTAGCGAGTTGCTACCGCTCCCCCCAGCATTTCACATTCCTCTCCTTCTAGGATCTAGAGCCACGTGTATTCTAAAAGTCCTTAGTCATCTATCCACCCATCTCACAGCCACTGATTCTTATGGAAACATCAACAGAGACTTCAAGGCAGGGACAGGGAACTCAATGATAGGATGGGTGTTGGTAGCAGAAAAAGACAAAATGTCCCATTTTGAACTTTACTAAGGTAAGTACTATGACATCAATTTTACCAATAAGGAAACTTGTCCTAGTCACAGCTAGTAAGTCAGGGAGCTGGGATTTCACCCTGAATTGATCACAGCCTGCACTGCTTTGCTTTTCAATAGATGCCTACTTGCATTGACAGAAGAGACATACCGTTATCTCATTCAGTTCCCTACTCTTCCACGACTGCATTTGTAATGTCAGTGGCATCCCACATGCAGAAGGAGTTCAGTGAATGCTGCCTGGGTTGAATTTGCAGGTAGACACAAGTGTTATCCCGAGTGCTGTTGGGAGACCCTCACATGGGATGGAAACTGGAATTGAATTGGCCCAGCTTCTGTAACACTCTCCTTTTAGTGCAACGATTTGGGACCGCATAGCCCTCTGAAAGGAACCACGTGATTAGCCTAGAGGAGTTGCCTCAGGGTATCTGGTTCACACTTTTTGAGCTGAAAGATTTTTGTCAAGGAAAGCAGACTTATTGTCCTTTCGGCCTGGGTGAAAAGAGGCGGGGGCTGTAACAGTGACTCATTCCTCCGAGAAGCCCTGTACCAATAGAAAATTGCCGATGTGTCTCTGAACTGAACTGAACCTAGAATAATTTGGGTCTTGCACTTAACATGGGCTCAACACTATTTCTGCCTCATTTACTTTCCTCGCACCCAGCCCATGCTTTCTCTCCAGGTTTTCCCTCTTTTCCTTCCTCTCATCTGCATATAGATTTTTCTGTTTATTGAGTTCAGAGAGTGAGTCTCCATAAAAATTGAATGAGTGCCATTTAGGTTGGAGAAGTCAAATGCTTTCCCCTCAGAGCTTTATGAATAGAAAGGCTTAAGCAACTTACCGAGTGTGGTGGTTTCCCATGTCTATCCTTCACTGACCGGGGAGCTTTTATAAACTCGGTGATTTCATAGCGGGGCAGAGGCGGGAAGGACTCTTTACTGAAGTACGTTAATTATATGGTTGAGTTCTTGGAGCCTGAAACAACTCATGCAAGTCTCTGTATTCAGGAGCATCCATGGCCTGTTTGAGGAACTTACCCTTTATTCATCCATTAAGCAGTTTTTGGATGATTCTTGTGGACTGTGTTTCACCCACATTATCTGTTACACTAGAGATGCTCCAGAGTTATTTGTTTTGTTCCTCTTTTTTCTGAAACCCGTTAAGAATTCTTTCAAGCCTCCATAAAGCCCCGTTAAAACATAAGCTTCATTTCCTTTTGCTGAGGACATGACCGCATCCACAGCGACCAGGTAGGCTCTGGGATGGCATGTTGTAAATCATTGGAAAAGGAGTCACTGTCCAAACAGCTTTCTTCCCCTTTTTTTTTTTTAATCCTCAGCTGAGGATATTTTTCCATTGATTTTTAGGGAGAGTGGGAGAAAGAAAGACAGAAATAGAGAAACACATTGATTGGTTGCCTCCTGTACAACCGGGGAGGAGCCTGCAATCCAGGTACATGCCCTTGACTGGAATTGAACCCGGGATCCTTCTGTTCTCAGGCTGACGCTCTACCCACTGAGCAAAACCGGCTAGGGCTCAAACAGCTTTTGAAACAATAACGCCCTGGGCCAACCCAACTCTAAGTCATCACAAGCATGTACTATCAGAAATTCAAAAAAAACAGAGCTCACCCATATGGAACTACAGCATTTCCTGGCCCTTTGCAGTAGGTAGCCACCTGTCTCTTCTGTCTTTATAATTGCTTGTGCATTCAACTGATTTAATATTTATGATAGCAAAAGGCCCAATTTACTTTATTATTATGTAAACCCAATCTCGGTGAAGATAGCTTTAGAAAGATAGTCACCTGTCACTTCCTTATTTGATGAATTCACCCACTATTTATGGAGTGCTCAATATGAGCTAGGAAGAGAGCAGAAAAAAGGAGAGAGTTTTGCTCTCACATGAAATCAGGCATTAAACAAGTATAAACCCAAGGAAGAGTCCTCTAAGCTACCACCTGAAATGAGCAGGAGTTGGCCAGGTGAAGAGGAAGGGACAAGCCTTCAAGGTAGAAGGCACCGCAGATGCAAAGCCCCAATGGGGCACAGCCTTACACTGCTTTGGGGCCTGTAAGGATGCCAGGGTGACTGAGCCTGGTGAGCTGAGGCGAGTGACCCTTCCTAGGGCTTGTGAGCCAGCGGGAGAGACCAGACAAGCTCTCGTTGGTCAGGTTAAGTAATAATTAACCACATAAAGTCTTCTGACTTCCTGCCTCCATTTTCTTATTTCTTCTTTCCCCATTTCCGGTGTTTTGTCACTTAGCTTTTGTTTTCTTCTCAAATTGCTGTTTGAGAGGTAATGTAGATGCACTTTGATTGTGAAGTACCAAGGAATGTAAAGGCTGTACTGACAAATTTATTAAGGAAAGATATTTTAAAATGTATTAGCAGTAAACAAACACAAACAAGAACAGGAGATAGATAATTGATATTTTAAAATCTTAGTTTTACAAAGCAGTTATACCAAAAGTCATTACACCTTACTCAGGAAATGTATCAAATATTCATTTTCAGGTTCAAAGCATTATATTAATTTTGTTTTTAAGACAAGCTGTCAAAAGAATTAGTTTAGCCCAGCTGGCGTGGCTCAGTGGTTGATCGTTGACCTATGAACCAGGTCACAGTTCGATTCCCGGTTAGGGCACATGTCCGAGTTTCGGGCTCAATCCCCAGTGTGGAGCGTGCAGGAGGCAGCCCATCAATGATTCTCATCATTAATGTTTCTATCTCTCCCTCTCCCTTCCTCTCTGAAATCAATAAAAATATATTTTAAAAAAGAATTAGTTTAACTTCCTAGATGGTAGGGGCCGGTATTTAATCTGACTAGCTTAATGCACCTTGTATAATGTAAGAGCTATCCCTTTATTCTGAGATTCAAAGCCAGTGTTTTTCAAACGCAGATGTCTCAAGGTAAGTCTTAAACATATTATGAAACAATAGTTGGTTAAATAACGTTGTTTAATCCTCAGAATGATCACCAACCAGCCATTCTGAATTCATCGTCTCTCCGGCAAGTTGCAGAAGGCACCAGTATTTCTGAAATGTGGCAGCATGACTTACGGCCATTGCTGATAGAGCGGTATCCAGGCTCCCCTGGGAGCTATGCTGCTCGCCAGGTGAGAATGCAGCACTCAAATCTAAGGGCTGTTGAATACTTGCTTTCACGTGAGAGGTTATCTATCGCCAGTTCTGAGTTATCTAACATTCAGATCTGCATTCTAATCTTATTATTCGCCAAAATAGGCAACCAAGAAAACCAAACAACTGAGAGTAAATGTCTGTTTTGTTAAGCATTGCATGTTTGCCTAAAACAATTTATGTGTGAAATCTCTGTGTGGGGTATGGTATCAGACAGGGTGGTAAGTGCTCAACTCTTGGTCATTTCTATAACAACCCCTTGGGCCCTAAACACCCAACAGTAACAGCCTTAGACAGCCCGTGCTCGCCAGTTCTGAGCCGAGAGTGAGTTACTGTCCTATCAGGCTTCCCTTTGGGAAGTTGTATTCTCCCTGGTGGGAGAGTCAAGATCAGTGACAAGCTACTTTCTCCAGGGCAGTGCTTCTCAAGCTTCTGACTCTGGCCCATGGTAAAAATAAGTGTGTATATGCAGAAGTCAAGCAGTCTAATTTCAGTCCAGATTCTGGAAGGGTTTAACCTTGACCTTTCCATCTATCACTGGAGGGTGGATGCTGGGGGGAACCGGCTCTGTGGTGTGTGCTCACAGATGTCTCTAGCTCTGGATCTTCTCATTTCAATGATACTCCTTGGGCTCATCTCTCTTCCCTATTTAAAAGAAATGGGCGTATAATAATAAAAATATAGCCTACATTCTACATTGCATTTTAGCATGGCTGGTGGGCCCAGGCGTTTGCTATCTGGAGTGAGGGAAGCACAGCAGCTTTAGACTCTCTCCCACAGCCAAGCGCCCCCTGCCTCGGACATTCTTGTGAGAAGAGCAGTCGTTTTTGCAGCCTGCTCTACAGAATTGTAGTGGGAACTTGCAGATCAAGTCTGAAAGCCAAAAGCACAACGAGATATATTGGTGATGTAATGAGGTTATGCAGCCAATATGATTGTTTAGAAAGAAATTAGTTGCTAAGACAAATAAAAATATTTACACGGAATAAAAAAAGATTACTTTAGGCAAAATTCTTTCTGGGCCATTTGCTGATGCTTTTGAGGATTTTAGTGTCAACATCGATATCAGGAATTATCGCAACTGGTTTAGTAGTTGAGAAATGAGTTTGTGTGTGAGACTTCAGTTGAGCAAAGCTAACAGATATATATTTTAAGTCCCAATTCATTTTGTAAGCACGTAGGCTGCTGAAGACAGTTTATGGAGCAGCTCAACATCTGGCTGCCAGATGTTCTGGAGTACATGCCTTTTGAAAAATTTTTTTGCATGACCCCTTTTATGGGAAATAATTTTTCCCTCAAGTCTGAAGATAACTTTTCATATTCTGTGTAAAGCTTATCTTAGTTGCATAACGCTTTCTCTCTATTCAAACTACTAATATTCTATATCATACAATTTTATATATTCTCATTGAGAATACTTATAATTAAAAAATTAAATTTTTTTTAGCTTGGCTGGTGTGGGTCAGTGGTTGAGCATTGATATATGAACCAGGAGGTCACGGTTCGATTCCTGGTCAGGGCACATGCCCGGGTTGTAGGCTCGATCCTCAGTGTGGGGCATGCAGGAGGCAACTGATCAATGATTCTCTCTCATCATCGATGTTTCTATCTCTCTCTCCCTCTCTTTTCCTCTCTGAAATAAATAAAAATATATATTTTTAAAAATTTAAAAAATTTTTAAAAGAAGGAAAAAATAGTGTATTAATTACAATTTAGGCATATTTACTAATAGCCAACTGTGAACAAAGCCCAATACTGAGAATTGTGGAGAATAACAAGAATGAGATATACATGATGATTTCAACAAGGTTACTAGTATAAACATTTCTTTTTTTTTTTTAATATGAAAAGACAACTTATCAACCTATAATAGAAAAAGGCAAGGTACTGTGTATTTGTGCTATTTAGGCCGAAGTCCACCTCACTATAGAAAGCAGAAAGTGGACAGCTGGAGAATTATGTTTTTATTTGGCGTTTGCAGGGTTGGCTGTAGAGACACTGTGCTTCCCCCTGGTTCAGTTCTCTTCCCGGAAGCTTCCTGCCACAGTTTTTCCAAGGTCCTTGCCCACATGCCATGTCACATTAGTTAGGGCAGGAGGCCACACAAGACTTGGCGAGGCTAGAAAATTGTGTTTCCCTGGGAGGAAAAAATCTCCCCTTCTTTTCCAGTTATTATGTTATTTGTTTATCACTTCAGAGTCCATCCCCACTGATGGTCATTGTGGAACAGATTGCTGGTTATGTGGATGGTTACTTTGTCACTTGACTTCAAAAAAATCCTTTAAAGCAACTTACAAAGACATGTATATTTCAAAATAAAATAAATGGAACCCAGTGAGAAAAATGAGGCAAAGGGAAAATAAAGGCAGGAAAGGGCAAATGGAACAGTGATGAACTCACCCACAGATGCTTAAAGAAGACCCTTCTAGTGTCTGAGGTGGAGTTTCTTTTGTATCTGATACTTTTTCCTGTCATTTACCGTGTTGCTCAGAAGGTCTAAGATAACCAGGAGAAACGGGTTTATTTTTACCAGAACGTGCAGTGGGTCTGGGCCTTCCTTGAATGCAGAAGGAAAGCTACTCGGTAGTCACTGTGGTTCAGAGTCGCTTATTGATTCTTAGAGTGGGCAGGACCTCAAATATCCCTACCCATCCCCTTGTTGTGGGACTCCCTGTATAGTATCCTGAGCGGGTGAGCATCAGTATCTTTTGTTAGTGTTCATTATATTGCGAAGTATCTGTTGGACTTGAGGCACCTGCTATACACTGGAGACCTAAAGAGCTATCATGTGCCGTGCTTGCCTCAGAGAGCTTAGAGTGGAAGTTGAGACCCTGGTATATCTGTTTTCTCAAACATGCCTTCTTAGCCTCCTAGAGAAATGGAAAGTGGGCTTTAATACATATTGAACTGGATCTCTATCTCCGGACATGTAGAAATGTTCATGTTAGATTGTTAAGTGAGAAGAGCAGGATTCTATTCCTATAAAAACACATCCAGTCTATGAGTTTGTGCTACTATATGTTTGTGTAAAAAAAAAAAAGAGAGAAGATGTACATCAGACTATTAACAATACTATTAACAATTTGCAGGGAGAATATTGGGGGAGAGGGAGAAGATTAGCCTTTCTTCTATACATCCTTGCTATTCATTCAATAAGCATGTACTGCATTGTTAACTTGAAAGGCCTATAAGCAATTTAAAACATACTGAGCAAATGAAACCTGTCTTGATCTGAAATTTTGTTATTTTTTTGTTTTGAACAGCATATCATGCAGAGAATTCAGAGACTTCAAGCTGACTGGGTCTTGGAAGTAGACACCTTCTTGAGTCAGACACCTTATGGATATCGGTCTTTCTCAAATATCATCAGCACCCTCAATCCCACTGCTAAACGGCACCTGGTACTTGCTTGTCACTACGACTCCAAGTATTTCCCCCATTGGGACAACAGGGTGTTTGTGGGAGCCACTGACTCAGCCGTGCCCTGTGCGATGATGTTGGAACTAGCTCGTGCCTTAGACAAGCAACTCCTTTCCTTGAAGGTATCTGTTTCCCTCTTGTAGATTCTTGGCATAAAACACAGGAGCAGTAACTCAGAGTGAATTCGAGAATCCTTGCGGGGAGTGAGAAGGCCATTTAGAAATGTAGACTTTCAGGACATTTTGTATCAATTGTTTGCAAAATGGTATGAATTTGAATGAATATTAATTGGAAGATTACATTATTTGAAACGTCAACCATGGGCAATAAACCTAAGATACACGACAGTGAATTCATTAATTGGCACCTGATTTCTTAGTTTTGAATACACATTAAATTAAGGGCAACATTTCTTTGTGAAAAATTAAGAAGGTGGAAGATGGATACAGGTATATGTCTGAGAACTCTGTTTATTTCTTCTTGTTTATGGAGCCACAGACATCACAACCTTCTGATCTGAGAGCCGGTGGCCCTCAAGAGTGAGTAATTCAGACATATCAAGATGAAAAGCATGAAGCAGAAATGCATTATGGTTATTATCTGTGAATCTCAGCTCAATTTTATGTAGCATAGTAGAGCTTTTGTTATGTTCTCAGCTCAGAATACTTCTGGGACTCTCAGATGTTATTTCAGTCTCTGTGTTCTTAAGGGTATATTGGGGAAAAGTGCTAAACTAGATGAAGACATTTTGTTCAGATATCACTCATAACCAAGTAAACACAACAAAGCAAAAACAAAAAACTTCGTTCGCAGGCAACGGATGCCTCTTTCTCCCCTCAGAGCTTTATGAAGGGGCCAGCCTGGGGTACAATGGGGGTAAAGAAGTAAAATGTTTATCTTGTAATGGAAGTAATAGAGATATTTGGTTCTATTTTTGCTGGATATGCTGCACTTGAAGAAAGCAAGAATTGTTTATAACCTCTCGGTATCCTTTTCACTGTTTTTTGTTTTGTTTTCTGAACTTTCTATGATGTCTTTGTCCCATGCTCTACCCTGCTTTTAACTAGCATTCTTCCCCAGCTACTGAGTGAGGGAGTTCTGAAGCTGATGGGACAGTTTGATTTCTCATATTTGCATTCTAGTGTCAGGACATGAAATGAAATGGATGTGACGTAAAGGCACAGGTTGTGTAGTGCCTGTGCTTTCTCTGGGGGAGCTCCTGTACCTTTTGCATGTACCTCATACCTGCTTTTGGTAGAAGGAGCTGAATGAGTTGTTGGGTAGGGATCCCCATGAAAAACTACACGTACATTCTCTTCATTATCCTTACTAATAGAGGTAGTGATGTGGACAGTTTTTAAAAAGGGCTAGTTTTGGGTACAAGCATTGAGAGTATCAGATTTATTCTCACAGTTGGATTTTAATTTAAACTGTAGGAAGGAGTTATTTTAAGTTCTTCAGCTGTCATGAATTGGGTAGGCGGTGATGGAATGTGACCTGGGAGAGGTCTGGATTATTGGCCCAACTCTTTGCAGCCCTCTCCCCTCTAGTAATAAGATTATAATTATGTATTCACATCTTTTGCCTTATAACTTTGCTGTGTTCCTCCCTCCTCCCCCAATGGCAGGTTGTACCTTGTCATTCCTTACCTCTGGACTTGGTTATTTGACTTGTCTTGGCCAATAGAATGCCTGTAGATGTGACACAAGCAGAGGCTAGAAGTGTGCTTGTGCAATTGGGCTTGCTCCCTCGTGCCTTTGCCATCACCAGGAAAAGGGTGTGCCCTGGCTAGCCTGCCAGCCCCTGGAGGAGGATAAGAGACATGTGGAACAAAGCCAACCTTGATGACTTTGATGAAGCAAGGCTCCTGATCCAGCCCACACCGGCCTCGATCAGTTGTCCCCAGCTGACCTACAGACCCAGGAGGATTCATGAGTGTTGTTTTAAGCCACTGAGTTTAGGGTGGTTTTTCACACCTTACTATTGAGATAGCCTTGGGTGGGGAAAGAGTGCAGGTAATTCACCAACTATGTTGACACTGGTAATTAGGCATCTATCATGTTGCCACCAAGAAGGATTGGAAGAGCTTCACAAATCAGGCTACACAGATAGTGAGGAAGTGGGGGTGGGGGGAGCTGGGAAGGAGAGTGTTGTTAAACCTCAGAAGCACTTAGATACGTAGGTTCCCACCCCACACCTGGAAGATAGGTGAGTACCCCATCTGTATTCTTGCGGGAGATGACAGAATGTTTTTCTAGAGAAACTGAACCAGGGAGGTTCTGGACATGCTATGAGACACCAGATGTAAAGGAGAGCAGTAGTGAGGTGCCTCATAGAAAGCAAGGAGGTGAGGTGGAAGTCTCACATTGAACACTGAGATTCGCAGCCTTTCCCCCACTTCCAGCATGAGAAAGCCAGCAGCCAGCTTGTACCCAGAGACAGGAACCTGGAGGATCCTTCTCTGGAGCATATGAACCATCTCAGTGAAAACTCCAGCTGGGCACCAGGTCACCCTGCAGGGAAGCCAATCTACTCAGTGTTATAGGCCTTATTCTTTATATGAACGGACACAAAGGATGACCAGACATTTGAGGACAGTCTCCGACATGAAAGCAAGCCAGCAAAACAAATAATACAAATTGAAAAATGAACTGGGAGGAAATCAAGCACAAGGAGCAGAAGAGGACTTAAAGGACACAGTTTCTAATGTCCTCAGATAAGAGGGGAAGGGATACCTCTAACAGATTAAGGAAACATCAGAATCGGTTTGGTCCACTGGGGAGCACGTCCCCAGCACGTTAGTGAGGGGGAGAGCGCAAACGGTTGTGTATTTCCCCCTGCCACGTCCAGCTGCACGGGGGCAGGCACGGCGGAAGCAGAGAGTGGACTTGAGGGCATGTGTTTGCCATGTGAGTTTGACCAAGGCAGAGAGAGACAAGGGAGTGGAGCGTATTTTCAAGGGAGTGATTAGAATGATTGACTCTGGAATTTGAGCTGAACATGGGGTGAAGTGAGGACATCCTGGGGGTGAAGGACTCGGAAAAGGGAAACGATTCAATAGATTAGGGATTGCAGTTGGGTTGCAGATTCTGGGAGTTGGGGGACTAATCTAAAAAGTGAGAGTCGTCAGACAGTGGAAAGTAAAACATTCATCAGAACCCTGCTTACACTTCTGAAAAGTTCTCCTGAAAACCATCTCTTGCGTGAAGTCTTCCTTGACACCCCAAGGATTCAACCCCTCATTCTATCCATTCCCAGATGAGTTTTACTTTACATGTGTGACCCTTGGCACCTTTTGCCATGTTCATGTATTTGGTTGATCTTTCCTACCCCAACTAAAGTGTAGGCTCCTGCAGGGGGAGAGGCTGTAATGATTACTCTTTGTGTCCCCCCTGTTGCATTCCTAGGGCAGGTGCTCAAACCTAGACTCACAAAAAAAAAAAAAAAAAAAAAAAAAAAAAGGCAAGCACATCATGGATGAGTAGCCAAATAGATTTGCAGTTGTTCAGGTTGGGTTTCCTGGGATGCACACTCTGACTTGGAGGTTAGCATTTAGGTCATTTCTTAGGGAGTGGCCCTGACTCAACACCTGTGGCAGGGAGGGGAGAGCAATAGGATCAGGCAGAGGGAGAAGTCAGGCTGTCTTGCAGGTTCAATAGCGTCAGCCAATCTCTGGGCATCTCTGGGGGTGGCAGGGCCTTTCAAAGTTCTCTGAAGAGTCAGAGAAAATGCATAACCTCTCTTTTCATGGGGAGTGGGAGACGGTGAGATTTACATGGGGGTGTGATGATTTTCAGGGAAGAAGTGGTGCCAAATCAATGGTGTTGTATTTTCACTCACTGTGTTATTGTCCCTTTTGTTGCGGCTCAGCTGTCCTCTCCCCAGTTACCTTTTCACTGTTCTTTTTGCCAGAACGTTTCAGACTCCAAGCTGGATCTGTCACTCCAGCTGATTTTCTTCGACGGGGAAGAGGCTTTTCTTCACTGGTCCCCTCAAGACTCTCTGTATGGGTCTCGACACTTAGCTGCAAAGATGGCATCGACCCCACACCCACCTGGAGCGAGAAACACCAACCAACTGCACAGCATGGTTAGTCTGGGAAGTACCCGTGGTGCTGCGGCTGCAGGTGCTGCCTCAAAGGCAGCCAAAGCTAAAGCCAATTAAAGACCGAAAAATGCCCCGGCATCCTTGGAGCAGTGTTTATAACAGAACATTCCTTGGCAGGCGTTTGGGTTTTTGAGGAATCCCAGAGCTAAAAAGAAGGATTCTGGGTTAGCAGTTGCGCCCGAGCTTCATTAAAATATTTCCCTGAAATGATAGGAACATTTACATAGTAAGTTTTGAAAGTTGAATGTTATTGATTTAAAGTGTTCAAAAATGTAAAAACACTTTAATTAAAAGGCTGTAAAACATCCGATTAAGGAGACATCACAGTCAGTTTGGTCCAATGGGATTGCATGCCCCTGGTACTGCATAGAGGTGGAGAGAGCACCCCTTCTTGGAGCCCTGAGGCCTGAGGAGGTGGGGGTCTTGGGAAATGGAGTTAGAGTGGGACGTGGTATGAGGATGGGAGTGAAGAATTTCCTCAGTGGATTCGCAGCGTTATAATGACTCTGTGCATATGACATTTTGATGGGCTGGTTTTGATGTGGTATTTTTGACGTGGGGGTGGAGACATTTTGATGCTGCCTTAAAACCCTGCTCTTACTACCAAGTAATGGGTGCAACACATGACTCCATTTTCATCCCCAATCCTGGCCCCCCTCCGCCCCCTTGTCCCTCACCCTGCCCTTGAATTCTTTCCCTATTCTAGTTCTCTTCCTGTATTTGACCATCACTCAGTCTTGAGTCCTCACTAACCCCAGCTTGGGACCTCATGCCTCTCCTGAGTCTTCATTCTTCCCGTGCCTTTGTGCATCCCTGACCTTCACCCTATCTGTGCACTGAAAGCCTATTTCTAACCACTCCACTTGTCCCAGTCCTTTGCCCTGTCACTTACCTTCTCCCTCTGAGTCCACATGGCCAGGTTAAATGTCCTCTATGATTCTGACACACCCCATGTGGGCATTCTCTCCATCCTGAGGTCCATTGGCAGCTCACAGTGGATCAGGGGAATATGGTCAGCACCTCATTCGGTCACTTGAAGCCAAATGGCTAAAAAGGATTCAGAGGAGGAGGAGAGACCTGGCTGATCAGTAGGAAGAACAAAGTTATTTATCATTCCAAATATATGAATCCATAATATGATTAAGATCATTCCTCCTCCCCTCCCCCCCAAAACACTCTTATTAGCTTATCTAACCATGTAAATACATTCTGATTTCAAACAAGCCCATTTCCCCCAATGAATATATTTAATCATCATTCATGAGTTAATAGATACTATATCTTTAGAATGGTAGACTCTGCAAATATTTACCTACCATGTGTAGGATCTACACTAGATATTTACCCACACATGATCTCACTTATATAAATCAGTTTTTAAACCAGGGTTAGGCGGGGGGAGGGGTGTGTAAGGACTCTCTTCAGGGAGTCCTTAATACTGCTGATGTTTTATGGCTCAAACAAGTTAAGGAACACTGGTTTAATTGTAGAGCATATAACCAGAAGAGACCTTTAGAGATCAGCAAGTTTGAGCTTCTGGTTTATAGAAAAGGACACGGACAGCCAGAGACATCAGGTCCTGTAGCTCCTGGTCAAGGAATTTTTCTTATATGCTACTTTGGGGAATAAATAGTTACTAAGTGTTCTCTTATAGGTGGTTATGTCATTACAGACAAAGAATAAAATGGCGAATTAGAATGGAATAGAAGATCAGGGGCTTGGACTCTCATCTGAAAATCAAGTTAAATGTATTCTTTTTAAATCTATGAAATACTTATCCAAATGTCCTCTTTCTAATTTATTTTCAGTGAAATCCTTCTGGGATTCCAGACACAAAGAATCTACATATTGCCATTTAATGGCAAAGCAAGATTTAATAAATTCGCCAAAGTATTAGCTTACAGTGCTATTAAATCTTTTGTTCATAAAGCTCCCTAGATTATTCTCAATTGTTAATATGCCTATAGTTTTGATTCATTTTTTTACATTGATGAATATGGAACGTGTTTTTAGTGACAATGACTAAACAATATTTTTTCTCCCTTAGGATTTATTGGTCTTATTAGATTTAATTGGAGCTCCAAACCCAACATTTCCCAATTTTTTCCCAAACTCTGCCCGATGGTTTGATAGACTTCAAGCAATTGGTAAGCACCAATGTTATTAAAACTAGGTTTCTTCCTCCTGACAAACACTACATTTTAAAATTTAAAATTTATGATTTAAGTGTATGATTTGAATATATACTATCCTTTACTGGCTTTTCCCCTTGCTTTATGGATTAATTATTTGTTCCTATTCATCTCTTTTAGTAGGCCCACTTTATTTTCCTGCATGAAACTGCATTTTGATATCCTATATAATGAAAGGCTAATATGCAAATCGACTGAACGGTGGAACGACCGGTTGCTATGACGTGCACTGACCACCAGGGGGCAGATGCTCAACACAGGAGCTGCTCCCTGGTGGTCAGTGCACTCCCACAGGGGTAGCACTGCTCAGCCAGAAGTCCTGAGCCAGGCTCACGGTATAAAGGAAAAAAGTTATTCTCCTTTTCTTTCTCTAAGCCCCAAAGCCTCCCTCTTGAGCCATAGATACCTTTGTTTCTTTGCCTGGCCTGACCTGGTCTATAGTTTTGATTAATTTTTAAAAATATATATTTTATTGATTTTTTACAGAGAGGAAGGGAGAGGGATAGAGAGCTAGAAACATCGATGAGAGAGAAACATCGATCAGCTGCCTCCTGCACACTCCCCACTGGGTATGTGCTCGCAACCAAGGTACATGCCCTTGACTGGAATTGAACCTGAGACCCTTCAGTCTGCAGGCCGACGCTCTATCCACTGAGCCAAACTGGTCAGGGCAGTTTTGATTAATTTTAAGCAGTGGGAAAAGCACTTCAATCTCAACTCACACTTTTGCCATGAGTTCAGAATTTGCCAATATGCAGATTTAGAATATTACAAGAGAAACTTTTACCTGAACCTTAGATACTTTTCTTTGGCAAATTTCAATTTCTAGTTTGAAAGAATTGCTTTTGTGGTATTATTAATATAAGCATCTTGGGCCTCTCTTAGCATGTTTTCTTTACTTTGATGGTAGCCTCAAAAATTTGGGTTTGGCCATTTTTCAAGGATTTTCTGCACTTTTCTTATTTCCTCTACCAGAATGAATTTATAGCATTAACTTGCACCTTACTGGTTTTTAACCCGTTGTGCTGCCCCCTCCTAGTGGTACTTACTGTACTTCAAACCATATCTAATTGCATAAGGAAAAGTTATATCCTAAGATGAAAGAATTGTAAGTGTCAATTAATGGATTGCGAATATTCTTTGGTGGTGGTTCCTAAAATATTACATATGTTCCTAAATATCTCCATATTCCTAAAATATCACATATGCATGCTTGCCACTTGGTCTAGTTTTACACTTTAAATTTAGCAATTAAAAACACACACCCGGCTATCCTGATGAGTTTCATTTAATTGTCTTATAGTTTTCTTGTGATCTCTTATCATTTTGTAATATAGAACTCATGTTATATGTAACCAGGTAACATAACACGTGAGTTCTATGTTACAAGATGATGAGTGATGGAATGCAGGCCAATGAGTGATGGAATGCAGGCCAATGGTTCTCAGACTAGAGTGTGCGTTACCTAGAGAGCTTGTTACAACACACAGTGCTGGGCTCCGTCCCTAGAGTTTCTGATTCTGTGAGTCTGAAGTGGGTCCAGATAATTTACATTTCTAACAAGTTGCCAGGTGATTCTGATACCCCTGGTCAGAGACCACACTTTGAGAACCACTGATGCAGGTCGTAGCAGGTAACCCCTTTCCATAAAGTGGCCACTCAGTAAACTTCATCCTTATTCTGTTTGAGTATTACCCTTCCAAGCCCCACATCTCCTCTTAAGGTATTCTTCATACAGGATCTCAGATCTATGAGTACCTATGTTGTTTTCTCCCCATTTCCCCCCCTGTTTTTCTCATTCTTCATCTCTCCATTCTTTTACTGAGTTTCACCTCTAAGAAGGTTCTCACCTGTAAATCTACAGCCACATGTGACCCTTCTCATCCCCAAACTACTCCAAAATGTACACACCCATGTAGAGCCCAGATGGTTATTGACATATGTTCACGGCCGCATGTTTTAAAAGCAATGGCCACATGTGCTAAGATTTCACACTCTTTATGCATTCTGTGTATTCATCAGATAAAAACAGATATTCATCTACTGTCTAATTGTCATCTGCAGAACATGAACTCCATGCATTAGGTTTGCTCAAAGCTCATTCTTTGGAGAGGCGGTATTTCCAGAATCATGGTTTTGGAGGAATGATTCAGGATGACCATCTCCCATTTTTAAGAAGAGGTAATAATGTGTGTGTATATGTATGTGTGCATACACATGTGCATTTTTAACCTATTGTATTCATTGTATTTTATGTGCTTTTGCAACAATCTAGAAGGGTAAGGAACCATTAGATTTAATGAATTGAATAATTAAGTCATTCACCAATCATCTTATGGCTTCTATTTTTTTCATGAAAGTTATTCACAATCCTTGACACCTTTATATTTTTTTCCTGCAGCTAGGATATTTATGAAAGCTCATGTTCCATTGACCGTGCCTTCACTTTTATAGAGTTAGACTGTATTCTTACACTTTGTGTTAACTCTGATGTTTACTAATTAATAAGGAAGCCGTATCCTTGATGTCAATGGTGGGAGTTTAAACAAACCCAAGGACTCTTTTTTTTTTTTTAATATTTTTTATTGATTTCAGAGAGGAAGGGAGAGGGAAAGAGAGAAACATCACTGGTGCGAGAGAATCATTGATCAGCTGCCTCCTGCACGTCCCCTTCTGGGGATTGAGCCCACAACCCCAGGCATGTGCCCTTGACTAGAATCAAGCCCAGGACCCTTCAGTCTGCAGGCTGACTCTCTGTACACTGAGCCAAACTGGCGAGCTAGGGCAAACCCAAGGACTCTTGCAGGAGCCTCCCAATTGGTCTCTAGCGTTTGCTCTTGCTTCCCTATTCTTTACACAGGAATGAGAGTTATCTTTTAAAAATGTAAATAAAATTATGTTCCTTTTCTGCTTTAAAGCTCTAGTGGCTTGCTATCATGTAGAATAAGATCAAAAGTCTTTACCATTACCTGTAAGGGCCTCCATTTTCTGACTCTGTTCTCCCTCTCTAACATCACCTCCTACGTCTGTCTCCAATCAGTATTACTTCAATCCAGCCACACTGGCTCCTCGCTGTTCCTCAAGCAGGCCAAGCTCACTCCTCACCCCAGGGCCTTTGCACTTACTACTACTGCTGCCTAGAATACTTCTCCCTAGACTTTTGCACAGCATGCTTTTCCTTTGTTGCATGTCTCTATTTATTTGTTAGCTTCTCACAGAGGCCTTCCCTGACTTTAAATACCTTCTTCTTGGCTCCACTGTCTGCCTCTTATTCTCTATTTCCTCACTTTATTTTATTGTTCTTTATAAGCCATATCACTTTCTAAAATTATTTTTTGTATTTGTTTATTTGCTTCTTTCTCTACTGGAATGGAGATGCCATATGACCAGGACTTTGCCTTTTAACTGATGAAACCTTAACTTCTAGAATAGGGGCTGGTATATAGTTGGTGCTTTCTAATTACTTACTGAATTAATTAACATTTGTTTAACTAATGAATGACTTTGGAGTACAAGGGTAAGATATAAGGGAGTACACAGAAGATGATGAATAACCTACTGTCTTTATATGGAAGGGACAGAACCCACTCAGACTTCTGCTTGCCAAATTATACTTTCTAGTTTAAATATGGACTTAATTACAAGTTGGTTCTTTCTTATTAGGTGTTCCAATTTTGCATCTGATAGCATCTCCTTTCCCTGAAGTATGGCATACGATGGATGACAATGAAGAAAATTTGGATGAAGCAACCATTGACAATCTAAACAAAATTATACAAGTATTTGTGTTAGAATATTTGCATTTGTAATGTTCTCATTTAGTTCATGAGAATTGTACCTAGTATTGAATTTGAAAGTCAAGGTACAATCCTATCTAATAAAAGAGTAATATGCAAATTAACCATCACACCTCACTCTGTCATTCTGTCACAAAGATGGCGGCGGCCACGGAGCTGGAGTGAGCAGGAAGCTTGGTTGCCCCTGGCAATGGAGGAAGCCAAGCTTCCCGCCCTCCCGGGCCAGTCCTGAGCTCCGCTCAAGGCTACAAAGTTTCAATTATAGAAGATACATAAATCCCAGCCTGTGGCCATGGCCAGCCTGAAAACGGCCCTCAGCCCCTCACCCAGACTGGCCAGGCACCCCAGTAGGGCCCCCCACCCTGAAGGGGCTGTGGCCAGCCTGAAAACAGCCCTCAGCTCCTCACCCAGGCTGGCCACAAACCCATAGGGTGAGGGTTCCCACTGTGGGGCTTGACCAGCCTGCAAACAGCCATCAGCCCCTCACCCAGGCTGGTCAGGCACCCCAGTGGGGACCCCTACCCTAAAGGGAGTGTGACCAGCCTGAAAACAGCTCTCAGCCCCTCACCCAGGCTGGCCAGACACCCTAGTGGGACCCCCACCCTGATCCGGGACACCCTTCAGGGCAAACCAGCTGGCCCCCACCCGTGCACCAGGCCTCTCTCCTATATAATAAAAGGGTAATATGCAAATTGACCCTAACAGCAGAAAGACTGAGAATGACTGGTCACTATGACACACACTGACCACCAGGGGGCAGACGCTCAATGCAGGAGCTGCCCCTTGGTAGTCAGTGTGCTC